ATATATAAATCCACCATTAAATTCAATTTCCAACCCATAAATCACCAAAAGATCTTAATTTGTTCATAACCCACAATACAAAATCAGTTTAAAGGAAGTTCCAACACTTTTTCTCTACCAATGTCTACTCCCTCACACCATTTCTAAAGAGACATCATATCAATTTCAATAGCAATCCATTTAGATCATAACCCCCCCTCATTTGAACATAACCTACATCATGAAACTTCTATGAAAGTCTAAAGGGTTCATAGTCTTTTACCTTAAAAGCTTCAACCAAGCTAGAAAGAAAGGTTTTCAAGCTTCAATACCTCCTTCTATGGCCATCCATGGATGATGTATGAAAATGGATCTTGGAGAAATGGATTTTTCTCTCACTCAAAGCTTCATAGGTCGAAAATGATAGATGGGTTCCACTTTCTACGTGTAGCTTAGCAACTTTCATGAATGGAAATAGCCATTTCTATGGCGTGAACAAAAATGGGTATTCAAGAGTTGAAGAAAAATGAAGTTCGGTCATTGGAGAAAGATGAATAACGATAGGAAATTGTGAGAAGAAGAAAGTCAAAGTGTTTAAATGGTAAAAGACCATTTTACCCCTCTTTCTTAATTCTCATCCAACTAATAACTTAGAATATCTAACATGTATTTTGGACTCATAAAATGATGAAATAGTTTTCCACAAAATCATTCTAAGTTTTTGGTAACTTTTGTTTAATTGCACTTTTACCCTAAAACTTTCATTATTTGCTTTTTTGTCCTGAAAAGTGACTTAACTTAAAAAAACTAGATTCTTCATCTAATCAGTCTATTTTAAGTATTAAATAATTCCTAATTATTTAATTTAATTATTTAGGTTATTATATGAAGGGTCTTGGAAAGTTTGGAGAAAACTCTACTAAGAAAGATTGAGAAAAAAAGAAAGAAATTTTAGAGGGAGGAAACGTAATAATAGAGAAAGATAAAAGTAAAAACTAAGAGTGAGGATAACTTCTTTTTTTCTTCTAAAATATAAATTCCATGGAGGTGTCACTTTGTTATTTATTTTACTTTTCTCCTTTCCCTAAACGGTCTCGATGAGTTACCACGTTTCAATTTATTTCTTGTTATCTATTTTAACAATTTATATTTTAGCAATTTATATTTTATATCTCGTCAATCTATATTACATCAATTTACATTTTTGCAACTTATACTTTAGCAATTTACATTTCTGCACTTTATAATTATATACTTATATATGTATATATATTATATATGTATATATATATATATATATATATATATATATATATATATATATATATATGGAAAAATGATTTATAACGTGACTGCATATAAGCATTGGTACAGTCACCTAAAAATTATGTCGTTTTGGTTGGAATAAAGGAAGTCCGCGTTCAAAATTAATTGTAGAAAATAGAAATATTATATTTATTTCCGCCTTTGTATAGTTATGATTCCCCATATTTAATGCTTTATATTTATTTCTATTTTTGTATGGTTAGAATTTCCCATATTTAATGATTTCACACTATAAAACGACGTAGTTTTATATGACTGCACCAATCCTTAGGTGCAGTCACTATACATCCGCTAAACCCTATATATGTATGTGTGTGTGTGCGTGTGTGTGTGTGCGTGTGGGCGTGTGTGTGTGTGTGTGCGTGTGTGTGTGTTGTGTGTGTGTGTGTGTGTGTGTACCGATTTATAATTCAGCAATTTATATGCCAGTAATTTACTTTTCTACAAATTATATTGTTGCATATTATAGTTTTATATTTATGTATATATGTTCTAATTTATATTTAAGCAAATTTATAATTATCTTATATGTGATAAATATTGTACATGTATTTATTTAATTGTTTGTTTTCATTTTTGTATGTTCTTTGCATTGATATGTGATTTCTTTAACTTTTTTGTGAATTATCATGGTAAATTTTGCATGATAAATTTTGTACGAAAAAATTTCTATAACTTATATTTTTATGGATCCTTTTGGAGGTACCGCATGTTTGTCTACCTAAAAGAGTTTATAGAATATCTCATAGAAGGTATTATAAATATGTGCATGGTCAAGAAATTGGGTTTCTTGAGTCAAGGAACAGATTCCTTAGAGAATATGAGGCAGGAGAACGCCCTTGCAAAATACAGAGCTCTAATAAATAAAAAAATCCACGCTTATGAAAATGTTTTGGCTGATATTATATATATATATATATATATATATATATATATATATATATATTGTGAGGTTATACTTACTACTGAAAAATTTTATAACTCTTACTACTAAATTAATCACCATTGATTTTCGCAAAATTAATGGTTATAATTTATTGGAAATTAATAATTACGATCCAATAAAACATTATTCATTTGAAACCATGGATGATTTTCCATACTAAGTTATGGGTGGAAACACTATACTTCTATGAAAACCATTTAAACTGTTATCTTCACTAGGATAAATATCTCATCAAGTGTGTGTTTTCATATGTGGAGGTTAGAGTCTAAAGTAGATGTTTTGTGTGCAAGGAAGAAGTTTAGCCAATAAAATCTACATTTGTATCTAGTTGTGAAATTCTGTACTAGACTGTATTATATTTTGGTTGCAGCTTTTGTATTTTATAAAGGTTACTTAATACCCTATGTTGGTTTAATTGTTTGTACTTTGGTATTATAGAATAAAGTCAATTTGAGCAAGACTTACATTCCAAATCTTTTACATAATATATGTATATAATTATAGTTCAAAATACATAGATAACATTTCTCAGTTAATAATCGAAGGATGTTACAACATTTCTCAGTTAATAATCGAAGGATGTTACAAATTTTCCCAATATTGCAATGATGTAACGAGGTTATAGCAGATATCTATTAATTCCTAAGTAGTAACTGAACACGTGATTTTATGTAGGAATTCTCGTCAACCTTACATGTATAACCCAACACTTAATCCCCATATCTTTATACTAAAAGTAACTACTAAATTCATTGAAGAACAAGTTCAATAGCTATATGGTGTGAATGATCTCTCTACTCACGACTTAATTATATTTCTTTATCTTAACTAATCAATACTATCCAACAAGGGTCTAGATTCGAAAATTACTCGGTCTCAACCTCCTCTATATCACGTATGTACCTCTCAGTATGCATACAAGAATAAAATTAAGCAAACTCATTAAGTAACTAATTAAAAATTAATAAAAAAAAGTTTAAGCATCCATTACAACATTACATCCCATACTTTATTTATGTTTGTGTAACAATTGGTCACCGATGCATGATTCCACCACTTGTATCCTGTTATAATAATGTAGGGCCACAATTTATTTTGAAGATTCTAATCTTGTTAAGCGAAGAACAAATGAAAGCTACTATTAATCATCTGTATTGAACTTAGCAAAAACTACAGTTTGTTTTTAAATTTTTGTCTTAATTTTTCACTCTTCCATTTGCATAATCAATCTCTCGAACTTTAATCCTAAAATTTTAAAGACTGGTTTGCTGAAAATAAGTGTTTTTCAATTTTTTAATTTAAATAAAATTTATTGCGTATTTATTTTTTTCTAAATAAAATTTGTTTTCCCGTTATGGTGGCACCCCTCGGAGGATCATGGTTATAATAATCTGGAAGTTATTAGTTTCGGAATGTAGGCCAATTCATACAATGCAATCAATTTAAAGATGCTAAATTCATAGAGATAGTGAACAAAATATAAACGATCAAACTTGCATTTTCACCGTTGAGTCTCCATCAATTATTCCAATAATCCCTAACATCTATTCAATTTCAAGCACAAAAACAATAAGCTAAATAAATGAAGCAATTATTCAGCCGTTTACAAAATTCCTATTAATACCTTCAAAAGCTTGCATAAACTTTATCTAAATATCATTCTATACATATGGTAATATATTTTCTAATTTTAAAAAAATTTCTAATATACTTTTATATACCACTTTTTTTCCTTCCCAATAGCAGTTTCTGAAGTAACATCTTGGGGATGACAAGGGCGGAGAGTAATCGCCGTTGCAAAAAAAGATGAAACACAGACAATAAGCGGCTCATATGAGAATGTACAGTTGAGGATAACTTAAAGAAATTAATAAATACTACCTATACTAACAAGATACATCTATTATTCTGTAGCCCAAAACTTAAGAACTCCATAATTAAACGTGCTTGACTTCGAATTAATAGATATTACCTATACTATACAACAATGTCATTTTGGAATTACATGATATAACTTTATCTCCTATGACAGGAGAAACATTAATTCTTTCCATTTATTTGCATTTCCTTTTCAATCATCCCTATAAATAAAAGAAAAAAAATGTATCATTTTAAAGAATATAAAGTTATGTCATTTTAAGTGAGAGAAAAAGATAGATAAAGAACGAGAAAGAGAGTGAACAAAAAAATATAAAGGTGTGAGTCCCACTTTTTTGTGAGAGAGAAATGACACAAATTGTGTCTTTTAAATGACAAACACTTTTCTCATAAATAAATTAAGCCATGATGAAGCTTAAAAAACAAATACACGTTGTGTCAGGCTAAGGGATTTAAAAAATAAAAAAGCGGCATGATTAAAATCGTAAAAATTTCAATATGTTTAGGTTGCAGTTCCGCAATACTGGAAAATTTATACCTTTATTTTACTGCAACCATATGAAACACAAGCAATTTTCCACCAATGTGGACCATGAATTCCGTCAACTTACAACTTGTTCATTGTTTTAAAATGGATGAAGCCATAATTCGGGTCTAAGATGCTTTTCTGGTATCAATTTACTTCAACTTCTTGACAGTTTCATTGACCGAGATGTTTGTCAATCTTGTCAAGAACATAAGAGATTTTGCGGAGACACAATCGCTCAAATTTTAAACAATTTAGATTCGCTTTTAATTTCAAAAATCCCTTAAACATGTTCTTTGATAAGAAATTACGAATAAACTGACACCATGCTTAGTAAACGGTGTATCTCATTTTCTCATGTTAAAATCATATAAAATGTTCAAAATGGGGTTAATGAAGAGCCACTAATACTAATTTGTTCAGCTTGCATAACAAAATGTAGGGAAAGCACTAAACCAAATGCATGCCCAGCTAAGAACATATGTACGCGTGCATGCACAACATCTATATACTCCCACTAAGAAATTAAATTATTGACAGCGTTCTACATCTATGTATTTTCATATCGTGAAACCTTCCGCAGTCTTGCTAGAATCCTCCTCTAACATTACTTGCTAGTATAAACTAGCAGCAAAGCTAGTTCACTTGCACCTGTTTTTTGTGCCTGTATATCCAAAATGGCATGCCCACGAGAGCACAGTAAGAATGCATTGTTCCAATAAGCCCACAGTAATTAATGAACTGAACAAGACTAACTTGCCAAGAGTATGCCAGTACTCCAATGGCAAAGAAGGGTTAATCAAAACTGCATTTCAGGCTCGGTTTGACCCTATCTAATGTCAGTATATTCAGGGAATGCATTCCAATCATCAAGGCCTGAGACCAAACCAGCTATGTAATCATGTGGGACCACTCCAAAACTCTCCATTTCCAAGGTACTTTCCACATTCAAATCAAAGGGGAGATTGCTATCCATATCATCAATTCCAGCTCCATCCATAGTGGATGAATTAAAATCAAATCTCAGTTCCTGTGGTAGCATTGACTGGAATAATTGCTCACCCTGTTGGTAATGCATTTCACTAGGATCCATTGAAGCTCTTTTGGACTTCGACCTAGAAGGTTTAGTAGACTCAGAGATGGAAGACTTTTGCTTTCCAGAAGATTGTATCCTGGATCCAGGTCGAGACTGTGAATCGTTTGTTGGGAATGCTGATGAAGCCCATCCAGAACTGTCGTCTTCACAAGCTCTGGTTGCCTCCCTAGGGAAAAAAATAAAGAAAAGAGAAACAGAAACACCATAAGAAGCTCTCCAGCAATAATTAAAAATAATGCTCGAGACTAATCACTTTGGGAAAGAAATTTTGGATTCATTACCAACACCATTAAAACAGCTGATTCTTTAATATACTATTGTTGAGTAAGAAAAAGTGGCCAACAAACTCCAAGGACGGGGACTTATTTGATGTACACTGAACTCTTAAGAGTAAATTATGACCACAATTCAACAAGGCCAGAAGTAACAGCAAAAGAGTATATATAATTGGATCAGTCATACCTGAATGCTGAATATAATGAATTATCAATAGGGGAATTTTGCTTCAGCATAACAAGGACATAATAAGTAGGCCAAAAGAAAAAGGAAAACATAAGCACATCTCCCCATAAAGCAAAGACTATTCAGCAAGACTGCAAATTATATAAGCCAAGAAACAGATAACTGCAGAGTTAAAACACAGGCCAAAATTTACCCAAAAAAAAAAAAAAAAAAAACATAGGCCAACACTCAAAAGTAACTCGTCTATATATCAATGCAACAGAAATTGAGTATGCTTAAAGCTGACAGGGTATAGCAATCTCCAATCACAACATCAATCCTGCTATAACTACCTATTCCGGGCAAATTTCTATCTTACTACTTCCTTTCAACGGAAGAGCCAAATAGAAGACTAACAATTTCCCGATGTACAAAGAATAAAATATGAATCATTGAATAAGTCAACCATTCACTGCAAAATGACACTTCCTAGGAAATCAAATACCCAAGCAAACAAGCAACCTGAAGAAGTTTAAAATTATTACTGAGTAAGACATAATTTGATATCAAATTTATTGATGAAAAATAAATTGATCTTATATAGATTTAGGACAAACCACATCACTGAACCAAATTGTTGCCTGTAACGAAATCAACTAATTTACCCCAAATTTCATTGACATAACAAACCATGAACTAAAACCCATTCTGCAGTACTCAGCCATACCTGAAACGATTCTCAGCACCAGACGAACAAACTTTAAGATGATCATCTTCTCCTGTTTGCTTATTTAAAGATGGTATTGGTTCAGCCCCATATATTGATATATTTATAACAGATGGAAATGAAGATAAGGCATCACTCTCCGCTTTCTGGAGCTCCAGTGTTATATCCAGCTGATCTGCACTCACTTGCATGTTTTCACCCTGCTTAGAGAGCAAGATTTTGTCATTCTCCTGTCTACTTCTGGTGTCATCAAGTGCAGCTGCTACTAATTTCTTGCTCTGAGTCAAATTAGCAAATGTCATCCTTTCAGAGGGTTTCTTCATGGAATTCTGTGAATGCTGGCCAATGGAGGTAAAGAAACTCTGATCGAAATAGACACCATTAGAGGTAGGCGATGGATTTTGCCGGCGGTCAACATGTGATGCCACCTTCCAGCCAGATGAAAGCAATGCAAAAAAATGCTTCTGCAGTAGTAACTCTTTATTTCCCTGCTCAGAAGCAACATCTAACAACATCCGAATGTTATCCTGCCCAAAGAGATCATATATGAGAAAGAAGTTTCTTCTTTGCAATTTTCAGTTGAAATGATGAATGCCTAATAGGAATTATCAAATATTTTATACATCATTATATTAAATAAAATTTACAATCTACTCCAAATGAAGATGAGATTATATAGATGAGGACACAATAACATATGAATATAAAAACACACTAAAATACAACATCACCTTTATCACAAACTAGTGGTCAGCAAAAAACTGATCAAAATAGACATGTTAAAATTCCCAGTCTAACCTCTGTAACTTTAAGAAGAGCCTTGCCAGAGCCAGTACTGTTGATCTTCTCATGATTTGTATTGTCCATCGAGAACAAGACATATTTCTGGAATAGTTCTCTGAATCTCTCACAGCAATGGACAGGATGACGATATCTCCCCCTGTATGACCCACCAGCAGTCATACCATAAAGCATTTCGCTAACCAAACTCCAGTTAGGACCATATTCATGAACAACTGCACATAATATTGCATCCTCATGAGGCAGCCAAAAATCAGCTGGTGGAATACAATCTTTGGACCAAAGACTTCCCTTCTTCAATTTTTCAGGTTTTATCATCAAGATCCGTTTCACGGGCATTGGAGTTATGGATATTTTTCCTCCCAACTTACTCCTGCTACCTGTTTTCTGTTCAAAGTCAACCATATTTTCGCGTTGCTTTGATTCTGCATGTTCATCAAGCACAACTAACGAATTGTATTCTAAATCTGATGTACAAATGTCCAGAGGATCCCTCTTGGCTTTTTTGGACTTCGTGAGTCTTTTTTCTTCTTCACCATCAGTAGTTAATTTAGACTTCTTACGTTTTTTGTGCATAATTGAATTTGGAGAGACAAAATCCAGACTAGTGACATCCTCATCATCTATGGTCATTGACTCTGCTTGTGGATCTTCTTTGAAAGGTCTCAAGCCAGAGGTTAAAGATCCTTTTTTCAGAGATTTGAACTTTGCTTTCTTGGGTTTCTTTTTAGGTTTGGGCTTCGAATCACTTGGTTGAGTCCTTCTGAAAAATGAAAGATATAGCATTCTCAGGTATTTTCATATTTAGAGTGTAAACTTGTTTCAATGCACAACTATCCTACATTTCAAACTTTCACTAGTAAAGCTTTAGATAAATAAGAATATTTTCTGCGTCAGGATTAACACCAAAGGCCCAACCCCCACGGAAAACACAGTTAATAGAAGAATATTACACTTATAAGGTGTGAAAATTTGTTTTCACATGGATGTTACAAATTCTTTTTTTTAAAGCTAGTGACAGAGAGGAGACAATGAGAGTTCAGTGCTGCCTTACTTTTTAGAATCACAATTTTCTTCCTCAGCTTCCTCTTTCTGTTTAGCTTCATATTCAAGTTCCTCCATTAACTACAAGAACGTAAAAGCAAATGTATTAAACCATACCCATAAGAAGACAAATAAAAAACCTAAAAAAGAAATCAAAGTTCATCCAACACACCTGATGTTGAGCCAAGGCCTCTACTTGCTGTCGATATGCCTCAGTTGCAAAATCAGCATCCCAGCCTAATATATAGACCAAGACAGTGTTCAATTTCAATCTCACAATTATGTCATACATACAAACTAAACATCTTTGTAAGTCAATATTCATAACAAGCCATGAGCTGAATAAGACAATATATTCAATATTGCAAGCAACGTGAGTCATCCATAGATCAATTTCAATTTTAAAATTCAATGAAAAAGGACAATCATGTGCCAAATTAATTATTACATATTTATAAATGATTTCAGGAGTGAAAAACATACAGGGCAACACAAACTACAGGTTATATTATAGCATGTTTTACAATTTCCCACACCTAAACTATGCTAAAGACATGCTATGTGGATACTGTCATGAGTTAATCACTCTTTCATGAGGTCTAACCTAATTACAACCACTTTACATTTTATGAATATAAATAACAACTCCAAATGTAATGAAACAAAGGGAGCAATGAGGTGCATACTTTCATATACAAGAGGTTCCTCATCTTCATCAATTTCGGCTTCCATCTCCTCCTTATACTTTTCAATGCGATCCAACTCCCATTCTGTGTCCTCAATCCTGACTTCAGATTCCAAGGCAGTTTTATCTATAATAGGATCCCACAGCTCCAGAAAACGAATGGCATATCGATCAATAGGGCGTAGCTCATTCTCAAAGGCTGAGATAGCTTGTCCAGCAGCAGCTGCAGCTGCAGCCATCTGTTTGACATCAGCTAGCATGTCAATATCATCTTCTTTGGCAGCAACAGAGGGTGGTCTATCTTCCTTTGGGTCATTTCCATTTAACATTAACACGTTCTCTTTACTTAAATTGGGAACAGATTCAACTAATTCAGCAGGCTCATCATCTTCATTTACATACTCATCCTCTTCAAGTCTCCCCATGGCTTCTTCAGTAAACTCCTGGTTGTCCACAGCTTCTTCCAGTTCAACTTTCTTCAAAGCCATATAATCTGCTTCGTCTTCTACATCTTTTAATGCAGCCTCTACATCCGCATTAGTAACAGAAACTTCTCCATTGTTCTGGTTTTTCTCCTTTGGCATATTTTTTATTGGAAGTGTTCTATGACCTGAAAATAGTTCCATAGGATCAAGCTTCTTGAAGAACTCAGTATTATAACCCCCACTTTGTATAACTAGATCATCAAGTGCTCGCTTCTGGTTTGCTTTCTTCAAAATGTTCTCCTCAATGGTGCTTTCACTAATCAATCTATATATATGAACTTCTCGTGTCTGACCAATTCTGTGGCACCTATCTTGAGCCTGCTGATCCATAGCAGGATTCCAGTCGCTATCATAAAAAATAACCGTGTCAGCTCCAACTAGATTGATACCAACACCCCCGCTACGGGTTGACAAGATGAAAAGAAAATATTTGGGGTTTGTGTTAAAACGCTGCATCAAGGTCTGCCTCTCCTCCGGTTGGGTTGATCCATCTAAGCGCATGTAAGTATAACCATACAAATTAATGAATGCCTCTAATATGTCAAGCATCTTTGTCATCTGGGTAAATATCAAGGCTCGGTGGCCTTCTGATTTTAATTTCCTCAACAAAATTGCTAGCTCCTGCAGTTTCCCACAGTCAAATTGTATAAGACGCCTATCTGGGAAATACACTTGCCGGCGGACAATTGCAGGCCTAATTGGAGACAGTAGCGGTGAAAGAACATCTGAGCATTTCTGCTTGTATGATGGGTGCAGAAACACAGTTGTTTCACTTCTACTGCACCAGCAAACTGGAAAGGGTGCTCGTGCAGCTGGAATTGCAAACATGAAACTTTCAACCACATCAGTCATCCTTCGAAATCGTTCAACCGGGGAGAGAACAATGTCAGCTAGCTTTGATGAGTACAAATATGAAATAGGGTTTGCCTTCACCTGATGAATATCATATACAGGATGCCTTATGGTAACAAGATCCCTTAGGGTCGTTGAGTACATGGGTCTTTTCTTACACCTCAAGGAGTTCCACCATGCAATAGCTGCTGCACGTTCCTTTGCCTCTCTTAGCCTCTCTTCCCAAATTGCCCTTTGAATCTCTTCAAAAATATTTGTTCCTTGCAGCTTTTTTTGACATTTCAGTCCAGGCCTAATTACTTCTAGGTGAGCTATATCAGTACGTTCCATGATTAAAGATGCAGGGGTCTCAATAGCTTGAACTTCATCACTCTCCCAAGCAGTCATACTATAGTCAAGATGAGTAAATAGAAGACCGAGACCTCTTAGGTCCACTGTTGAAAAGGAACTAGGCAGAAGCACGGAGCAAACAGAAGAACTTAACTGAATATCAATACCACACATATCAAAAGAACTGACAATAGGACGACCCTCAAATAGGTCAGGATGATTGCAAACCTTACGAAGTTGCATGATAATACTAATCATCCCAAAAAAATTGGCGCTTGCAAGAGTGGCTTGCGTCTCTGAGCTAGCAATGAAATCTTCATACAAATTCCGCTGCCTCTTTGACAGTCTACAGTATATGACATGCTCATGTTTCATTGGAAGTTGCTTCTCTACATCTCGCTTTAATCGACGGAGTAAGAATGGACGAAGGACATTATGCAGACGATCAACAACCTCCTTATTAACCTTTTCCTCTCCCTCTACCATAACTGATATAGGATTACTAAACCAATCCTTAAACTCTTGATGTGACTGGAAAACATGGGGCATCAAGAAATGCATGAGAGACCACAGTTCCATGAGATCATTCTGCAGTGGTGTTCCAGTCAGGAGAATCCGTCGTTTCGAATTGAAATTCAACAGTGTCTGCCACCTTTGTGACTTCCAGTTTTTAATGAGATGAGCTTCATCTAAGATCAAGTACTTCCACTTTTTGCGCTTGAAAACTTTGGAATCCTGAATAACTAATCTATAAGTTGTTATGCATACATGAAATGAGTTTGGTTTCAACCATCCTTGTCTTTTAAGTTTTCGCTCTTTTGCACTTCCAAAATAAGTCAAAATTTTAAAAGCAGGACACCATTTAAGAAATTCAGTCTCCCAGTTTAGCATTACACTAGTTGGTACCACAATTAGATGCGGACCCCAAATCCCTTTTTCACAAGCAAGATGTGCAAGCAAGGCTATAGTCATAATTGTTTTTCCAAGCCCCATTTCATCTGCCAAAATTCCGTTCAGTCTTTTTTCATACATCGTGACAAGCCAATCCAATCCAATGTGTTGATACTCACGAAGAGAGTACTTGAGTAGAAAAGGAAACTTTGTACGCACTTTAGTTGTGGAGAAAGTATTTCCAGTTGGTTGTGCTGATCTTGCAGCAGCCGCTGCATCAGCAATTATATACTCACTTTCTCTTTCTTCCAAATTTTCATGAGGTGCTTCCCACTGTTCTTCCTGCGACTGTACAGCAGCCAGGTGCTCACCAGACTTAATATCTTCATCCATAGATACAGCAGGATCCATCTGCCCAGGATCTTCATGGACTGGAGAATCACAATGGTCCTCTGATAACGCAGAAGCATAATCTGATCCATCTTCTTCGTCTTCATCATCACTCACATCCTGATAAACAAAAGAGAAAATAAAATAAAATAAATGTTTTAACACAAATTACTCAAGCCATAAGTAACAACTAAAGATGAATGCCTACCTTTTTATACCTCGCAAGCAGATCCTCAATAGGCATGTCACTCTCCTTTTGTAATAGTGCAATCTACAAATAACAGCTTTGTCATGAGGGGTAACATAACAATATATGCATATATAAACAAAGCAAACTGGATAGAACTTTTATGGTAAATAATCCCAAAATTCTAAATTAGTATTCAGAGAAAATGTGGGAGAAAGATAAGCTGACTAGCTCTTAACCTCATCCTTGGAATCAATTGCATCAACTCTATCCAGTTTTTCCTCCTCGGATAAGGTTGTTTCATCATCCTGATCAATGTAATGAAGTTTAAGACACAAAATTGCCAGTCAAACAACAACCAAGAAAGGAAAACAAGTAAATAAGTAAAAGCTTCAAAATAGTTAACAAATGATTACGCCAACAACTTCTTCAATATAAATTCAATCCTAGACAATCATATCGATTATCAAACAAAATTCTTGACTTCAAACAAAATTTGATTCGTACGGAATGAGATAGGAAACCACCTGTAAAGAACCAATTCAATCCAAAAGCTTAAGCTATTGAATGAGGCTACATTAATGATTTTATATATCTCGACACGCCCCCTCACACGAGAGCCCACTGGGCTTGAAGGGTGGACAATGCACAGGCCCATCTACCTGTGCGAAGAAAGAAATTCTACTAGAAAGAAAGTGGGGCAGGTGAGGATTGAACCCAGGACACGAGACTCTGATACCATGTAAAGAACCAATTCAACCCAAAAACTTCAGCTATTGGGTGAGGCTACATTAATGGTTTTATATATCTCAACACGCCCTCTCACACGAGAGCCCATTGGGCTTGAAGGGTGAACAACACAGGCCCATCTACCTGTGCGAAGAAAGAAATTCCACTAGAAAGAAAATGGGAAGCGGTGAGGATTGAACCGGGATACGAGGCTCTGATACCATGTAAAGAACTAATTCAACCCAAAAGCTTAAGCTATTGGGTGAGGCTACATTAATGGTTTTATATATCTCAACACCACCCATTGCTATAAAGTATTCTAGGAAGGGGCAAAGGAATTATATCCAAAAGCAAGTCTAGAAAGTGTGACTTGCCTTTTGGCAGGAGAAGCTGTTGTAACTGCTTAGTGGGACAGAAACGTAAAGACCAATTGGAGGTCCTCAACCTTAGAAAGTCTATACCAGAAGACTGAATCGTATTTGAATTAGTTATTAGCTATTCCTTCACTGTTTGTTACATTTCTGTTAGGGGGTTACTTACTTTAATAAGGGAACATTTCCCGTGGGGGATCATCTCGGTGTTAATGAAATAAGGTTGAGATCATTCTCAACAAAAGGAGATTGCTCCATTGTACCAAAAAAAAAAAGGAGATTGCTCCACGGAAGAGGACATTACTCTTGTATTTTTCTGTTTCAGTATCAATAAAAGCTGGATCCTTTATCTTTGCTCCACTTCTGTTCTCTGATATTTCATTAAACTCAATTACACTGACCAGAGCTGTAATGTTAGTAGGAAGATCCTTGGGAGAGATTATAGCCTCTAAATAGATCTGAGCTCTGTAATTTCAAATTACTTTCTCTGATTCTCTACGGACATCAGTGTTATACTGGAATATACTGGTTCTTGTTCCAATTCTAGTATGATTTCTCTTTGAAATTGAATCTGAAATATATTGTATATTCAAGTATATAAGTCTGTACAAGGAGGCTCTCTATTTATAGAGACTAAAAAACCTAATGGGATGACCTAATGGGCCAAGCCCACAATCTAGACTATTCTAGACTATTCTAATAATAAATTAATATTATTTCTAACACTCCCCCTCAAGCTGGTGCGTATATATCAAAAGCTCCCAGCTTGTTACAAATATGATCTATTCGGGGACCTCTAAGAGCTTTAGTGAATACATCCGCAAGTTGATCATTGGAATTGACAAATGCTGTCTCGATCTCCCTTGACTGGATCTTTTCTCTAACAAAATGACAGTCAATTTCTATATGCTTGGTCCTCTCATGAAAGACTGGGTTAGAGGATATATGCAAAGCGGCTTGGTTGTCACAAATGAGCTTCATAGGCCTTTGTTCACAGAGATGGAGTTCCTTCAGCAATTGACTCAGCCAGATGAGCTCACAGGTTGCATTTGCCATTGCCCGATATTCTGCCTCCGCACTGGATCTGGCGACCACAGTTTGCTTCTTACTCTTCCAAGAGATCAAATTTCCTCCGAAGAGAACACAATACCCTGAGGTGGATCGTCTATCTGAAGGAGAACCTGCCCAGTCAGCATCTGAATAACTAGAGATCTCTGAACTCCCTTTATTTGTATATAATAAACCTCTTCCTGGCGCCTTTTTAATATATCGGAGAATTCTAATAACTGCATCCCAATGGGAGTCACAAGGAGAATCAAGAAATTGACTTGCAACACTCACTGCGAAGGAGATATCTGGCCTTGTCACAGTAAGATAATTCAATTTTCCAACTAGTCGGCGGTAGCGACTAGGATCTGGCAGTGGCTCCCCCTGTCCTGGTAATAACTTAACATTGGGGTCCATAGGTGTATCAATGAGTTTACAACCTAACATGCCAGTCTCATCTAGGATATCCAGTGCATACTTCCTCTGACAGATGGAAATGCCCCGCCTAGACTGTGCAACTTCGATCCCCAAGAAATATCGAAGTCTGCCAAGATCTTTGGTCTGAAATTGATTGAATAAATGCTTTTTCAACTGATCAATCCCGGTCTGATCACTGCCTGTAATGATAATGTCATCAACATAGACCAGGAGATAAACGCACCGGCCAGAAGAGTTATGCCGGTAAAAGACAGAATGATCGGCTTTGCTTCTGATTAATCCACAGGATTCAACAACTGAACTAAAGCGGCTAAACCAGGCCCGAGGAGATTGCTTCAGGCCATATAAAGATTTCCGAAGTTTACATATCATTCCAGAACTCTCCCCCTGAGCAACAAAACCTGGTGGTTGCTCCATATAAACTTCCTCCTGCAAGTCACCATGTAGAAAAGCATTCTTAATATCAAGTTGGAGAAGGGGCCAGTGATAAATGGCGGCAAGGGCAAGAAACAGGCGAACAGAAGCCATCTTAGCAACAGGAGAAAAGGTATCCCCATAATCAAGACCAAAGATCTGTGTGTATCCCTTGGCCACTAAGCGAGCTTTAAGGCGATCAACAGTGCCATCAGGACCAACTTTAACTGTGAACACCCATCGACAACCAACAACAGACTTCCCGGGAGGAGCACGAACAAGATCCCAAGTGCCATTGGAGTGAAGTGCCTGCATTTCATCAAGCATCACCTGGCGCCACCCTGGATGAGATAGTGTTTCACCTGTGGTTTTAGGGATGGAAACAGAAGAGATACTAGAAACAAAAGTAAAATGTTGTGAAGAAAGTCTGTCATAACTCAAGAAAGAATAAAGGGGATGAGGATTTCGAGTGGATCGAATACCTTTCCGAAGGGCAATGGGAGGAGTCTCTGATGGAGGATCCGGAGGAGAAGAGCCCACGGGAAGGGGCGATGAGTCATCAAGAGGCAAAGTCGGAGGAGGTGCAGGCTGACGACGCTGGTATGTGAGGAGAGGACGATCTGGAGGTATGGAGGTAATTGGTTGCTCCTCTGGAATAGGGTCACCTGCAGCTGGTAAAGACAAATCAAGAAAAGGAACAGGAAGGACCTGATCAACTTGGGACACTGGAGACGGAGTAGAGTGAAAAGGCTGCTGATCAAGGAAAGTGACATCAGCAGAAACGATATAACGCTTGAGATCAGGAGAATAGCAACGATACCCTTTTTGAAAACGTGTATACCCAAGGAAAATACATTTGAAGGCTTTGGATGTCAACTTGTCTTTACCTGGAGTAAGATCATGAACAAAACAAGTACAACCAAAAATATGTAAAGGCAGAGGATAAGAAGGTGCTCCGGAAAACAAAATACTGTGGGGAACATCATTATTTAGCACAGAAGAGGGCATGCGGTTGATAAGGAAACATGAGGTGATAATAGCATCTGCCCAAAAACGGAGTGGGACGTTCATATGAATGAGAAGGGTACGTGCAGTTTCAACTAGATGTCTATTTTTACGTTCAGCGACTCCATTTTGTTGTGGAGTGTGGGGACAGGTAGTCTGGTGTATCGTCCCTTGTGTATCCAGAAATTTAGAAAATTCAAGAGACACATACTCTTTTGCATTATCACTGCGCAAGATTTGAATAGAAGCACCAAATTGAGTTTTTATTTCTGCACAAAACTTTTGATAAAGTGAAAATAACTTAGAACGATTTTTCATTAAATAAACCCAAGTGCAACGGGAGAAATCATCAATAAAGGTGACAAAATACTGAAAACCCAAAACAGACGTTGTTCGACTCGGACCCCAAATATCAGAATGAACAATAGAAAAAGGAGCATCAGCTCTTTTATTGACTCTATTAGCAAAGGAGGAGCGAGTGTGTTTTCCTTGCTGACAAGAATGACAGTTTAAAGACTTAAGATTGGATAAAAAGGGAACCATATGCTGAAGCTTGGAGAGGTTTGGATGACCCAGACGGCTGTGAATTAGCTCAGGAGACTCTGTGAGAGAACAGGCTACTGGAGAAGGTGGTGCAATCAGATAGTAGAGACCTCGTGACTCAAAGCCTGCTCCAATCGTCTTCCCCGTACCCGAATCCTGCATAGAAAAGGATTGTTTAGAGAAGGTAATAGTACATGAATGAGAATGAATCAACTGGCTAACAGAGATTAAATTAAAAGGAATGCCAGGTATATAATAAACAGAACTCAGAGTTAAAAGAGGAGTTGGGTTGGCTTCCCCGATTCCACGAGCAGGAGCCTTAGTGCCATCAGCAAGAGTGACAGGGGGTAGGTTATTAGAATAAGAAAGTGAAGTGAAGAGATCTTTATTACCACAAAGATGATGAGTAGCACCTGAGTCTATTATCCAGGGTCCAAGAGATGATTGATAAAAACAAGCAACATGATTACCAGTGTCTTGAGTAGGATGCTGAGAAGAAACCTTCTTGAGAAGTGCCTCATAGTCGACACTTGAAAGAGTTACTAATCCAGTTGAAGGTGGCGTAACATCAGTTTGAGCAAAGTTGGCAGTCGGTGGCTTCAAATGAGGGTACTTCCTATAGCAGCGTTCTTCAAAATGCCCAAGATTCTGGCAATAATTGCAACGAGGCCTCTGTCTGTGGCCACGTCTGCGACTGCGTCCACTGTTCCAATTGGAATCACTGGCCCGAGAAAAGAATGGAGATGGGGTAGTACCGGAGATGATGCCAGTCGTGTTTTTGGACGCATTATTTGAGCCCTCCATCACAAAATAAAAGGAGATGACCAGAAAATAGCAAAGAACTACAAGAAAGCAAGAAATCGCGCAAAAACGTTGCACAAAAGTGTCCAAACAACGGGTTTTTCACTGATATCTTTCAAACGGATGGGACCCACAACGAACGGAGACCAGATCTGGAAAGAGGGTGAGGAGGCGAGCAAGATGGTGGTGGTCCGGCCTGGAACGGTGGCCGAACGGTGGCTCACGCGCCGGAATAGTGGCTCGGCCGCCGGAGACTTCCACCGGCGCGTGGCGGCGCGTGGATGCTCCGATCAACACGCGGCTTGGACAGACAGGGTCGCCTCCCTGAGCCGCTCCTGATCGCGTGGTGGTTGGTCGGAAAAGTCGCCGGAAAAGCAGTCTGACGGCGGTGAACAGTGGCGGACAGTGGTTTTGTGGCGGTTTCCGGCGATGAACGGAGGCTGACGATCTTTTTCCTGATGATACGAGGTTGAGGACAAGAAATTTGTGACTAAATAAGGGTTAGGTGTGAAAGGATGGTTGCCGGTATGATGCACGGCAGTAAAAAGAAAGAGAAAGATATTATATGCGGAAGCAGAGCCCTCAGATCGAGAGCTCTGATACCAAATTGAATCTGAAATATATTGTATATTCAAGTATATAAGTCTGTACAAGGAGGCTCTCTATTTATAGAGACTAAAAAACCTAATGGGATGACCTAATGGGCCAAGCCCACAATCTAGACTATTCTAGACTATTCTAATAATAAATTAATATTATTTCTAACAGATCCTTATCAGAGTGGTACTATAATTCTGACTAGCGAATACTTATCATATACTACCTTTGGATTTGGTAACATATGAAGCAAAGGATTAGTCTACAAGGCGACCACTTCACATTGCCATTTATTTATTTCAACTACTAGCTTAGCCCCATTTTCTAAATGTACAAAGGCTTGTTACATAATTGGACATGCTAAAGAAACTTTAACCAAAAACAATCCTCCATAAAGCTCCAGTCATGCTGTAATCAGCATTCAACCTCTTGATAACATCCTATTTGATAGGTTGACCTTGTCATCATGAGTTCCAAATTTCCAATATGAAAGATACAACAAAACGGGGCATCATATAAGTTCCAATATCAAAGATACAACAAAGCTGGGCATTTGCACCGACGCCGCCCATGAGAATAGTAAATGTGCATAAGAACAAATAGTAATGAGGATAACCACAAAGAGAAATCGCCTATATGGCTTGGGAAAAGCACTTAGTTCCTAGTTAGCATATGAATCACCAATAAACTTCCTGTTCCCAATCTTTCCTCAAGTCTAGGCAAGTACAAAAGGCTGTAGATCAGAAATACGCCAACCTTTACCATGCTAAGTATGCATAATAAACGAAGGGATTTTATTATGGGTGGATTTCGTATTAATCATAGGTGATTTTGTATTTATAGGGTCGATTTATAAGTGATTGATTATGTAATTATGGGTTGATTTATGTGTGATGGGCTATGTAATTATTAGTGATTGATTCCGTAATTTAGGGTGATTGATCCTATATTTATGGGGTAATATGTGATAAATAGGGGAGAAGAAGGAGGTGATGAGAGACAATGAAGTGTGCAGAATTTGGAGAGATCATGTGCCTTTTGAAAGCCCTGAAACAGAGAGAACAAGTGCCTCTCCAAACCCTTGGAATTTCAGTCATTAAATCATACAATATTCTTTTTTTTTTCTCTTTCTACTTGAATCCTATCAATTAGTATCAAAGCTCTCGATATGGGAGTTGTGGTATCAGATTGAAGATCATTCCAAATGTGGACTGGAGATGAAGCTTTTTGGTGGTTGATACAAATGGAGCAATATTTCACAAGGAAGGAACAAAAAAAGACAAGGTTTCTAAAACTGTAAAGGGGTTGACAAGGAAAGTTCAAATCTGGTATGCGTTAGATAAATATAATATAAAATCATTAATGTGACTTTCACCTAATAACTTAAGCTTTTGGGTTAAATTGGTTCTTTATATGGTATCACGATTCGATCCTCACAGCCCCAATAATATTAATAAATAATTAAATATTATGAAATTCTTTAGCATAGGTAGATGGGCCTAGCATTATTCATCATTCAAGTTCAATACGCTTCTGTGTGAACGGACATGTTAGAGAAATATAATATAAAACCATTAATGTGGGCTTCACCAACTTAAACTTTTGGGTAAAATTGGTTCTTTACCGTATGAAATCTAGAATTATCTCTACCCAAATGCAACATGGTGGGTCTTCTAATGTGATCTGGAAATCTTCCTTTGCGGGGAAGAGATGGGATCGGAATTTTTAGCTCCAAAATTGAAAAGGGAAATTCAGTTCCAAAAAATTGAGGCGGCAGAAGGAGAAATTCCAAAGCTAGAAAAAAAGGTTTCAAAAGAGAGAGAAATTGAAGTAGAGAACAAAAAGAGCGTGAGAGGAGATAGAAGGCTATGGAGGGAGTGGAGAATGGACAGCCACCGTCTACACTTGGGCAACCGGAATTGGACTGTTGTATGGAGAAAAAGTTTACGCAGTGCAACTTTGAACAGTAGCGACAACACGTTGCAAAAAGGGGCGAGATACAAGCTACTCCAGGAAGAGCACCATTCCTGGCTGAGATGACTAGTCTATGCATATTGGCGGCGCCAACAACATCGGATGTGGTGGCTAACCGCCACCATCAACGAATCCATCATACCTGAACCCTCATAAGGTGGAGGGATCTTTGCAACGACTACCAATGCATCTGAAGAGAGGGGACAAAACTAGGTCATGGAAGGACTTAAGAAAATTGGGTCAATTCAATAGCAAAATGGACCAGGCTCAGGCACTTTCACTACATTCCCAGGACTACATAAGGTCATGGGTCCCTTTCTTTGCTTTTAGGCTTGTGAGGCCATGGTTCAGCCAGACTTTTTCAGACCCAAGACACTTGGTTTCATCTCATCAAACCATGATGACATCAAAGTTGGGCCATATGGCATTACAATCTCCAAGTTGCATATCTATCATCCTCAACCAAGGGCTGGCCGCCTTGAGGACAAGGTGAAAGTTTTGCGCTAAGTATTGATAGAAATACACCAACCTTCAGCATGTTTGAGTTTGCATAATAAATGAAGGGATTTTATTATGGGTGGATTCAATATTAATAATGGGTATCAATCATAGGTAATTATGTATTTATAGGTTCAATTTATGGGTGGTTGATTCCGTAATTAAGGGTGATTGATCCTGCATTTATGGATGCTCAATGATAAATAAGGGAGGAGATGATGGGAGGTGATTGAGTGATTAGAATTTGAAGATATCAGGTGTCTCTAGAATGCCCTAGAATTTCAGCCATTAAATAATACAATATTATATCGTCTTCCTATTTTTATCTCTTTCCAATTGAATTCTATCACTCTCCACCAATCATCAAGTATCAATATTCACGCAAAATGCTCAAATAGTACCCACATCCTCTGGTGCCATGCTTATGATTCAATACTAACAGCCTTGGTTATATTTTATCACCCGTTTATCACCTCAGGTGCCACTGTTTTAAGATACATCTGATTTTAAATTATAAGCAAGTCTTTTCTTTTTTTTTTCAATTTATGTTGTGCAGGGAAAGGAACAGGGAGACCAGTAGCCTTACACCATTCAAAACTCCGTATGTTATGTCAATGTCAATTAAAATCTTAAAGTACACCAGAACATGAGGAAAGCAGAGTACACATCTGAAAGAACAAAAATGTAGTAGTCACTTTGCAAAATCTTAGAGCATTTCAGACATGCACATCTGAAACAGAAATTATATAGGGACCAAATACACAGAACTGATAGACAGAAAACAAAGAACATGATCCACATCAACTACCAAGCACACCTACCTCACTGATGATCAAAACCAATTGAAACAAACTGAAAAATGGAAATGATAGCAAATATGTCCTCAGAGATAGTATTACCTTATCTTCTGCGCCAAGCAAAAAGTCACCATCTTCCTGACAACATTTCAGAGCAGAACCCGGGAACACAGTTAGCATTAGTTAGCATTTGAACATCGATACCAGGTAAAAAAAGGTGCAACACGGGCAAAAACATAAAACAAGTAATGGAATGGATAGATACAACTAGTTAATTGTATGTAATATAAATAACTCGTGACAAGGATGATGACTTTAAACTGAAAGCAAAACACTGGCTCATATTGATTGAGACAGTAAAACATGGCACATATATGTAAAGAAGACCAACTATCCCAGCAGCTTATGGAATAAACAATAAAGGAAGTGAAACTTAACATTTCCAGAAATGATATTTAATTTTGTCCATCATCTTACTTTAACCTGTCAAAGCCTTAATTTTGGCTCCAATATCATGCAGATTCCTCATAACAGCATATGACAATATGGGAATAAAGAAGAGACTTGGTGGATATCTTATTGCTTTTTTCTTTTAATTTAACACTGCCTATCATCATTCTATGCTGCACAGTAAATAATGCAGACATCTAACAACTCTGATTTTTATTATAGAACGTAACATACTGTTAGATATAAAAGTTATAAGTGAATAATGATTTCTGTTGTAGTATCTGTTACTGTTGTGTGTGTGTGTGTATATATATATATATTACTCTGAGCCTTGTTGTATTTGATAGTTTCTAAGATCTCTGTTAGATTGTTATAGTTTGTTATGAACTTAATTATTTTTTTGTTAGTTTTGTTTGTTAGATTTGTTGACTCACTAATGAGTCATCACAGCTGTATAAATAAAGCTTTCCCTTTGTAGTTCAGTTCAAAATATCAATCTGCAAAACTACTTCAGTGTTTCCTTTTCCTTTCTCTCTTGCCATGCTTTCTGTCACTTTCCCTTGCTTTCTCACCAGCTTCTAGTATCGTATCAGAGCTATCACTCTGAGGGAGTGATCCATATCCAGCCACAACATGTCTTCCGCTTATAACACATCAAGATCCAGCCTCTTATGCAAATCAAAATTCCTCACGAACAAATAGGAATTCCTCCACGGATTCGAGCAAAGCTTCTTTGCTTTTTAACTACCATGTCTATGCAAAACTTACTGAAAAGTACTACCATTTCTGGAATCAAATTGTGGAACCTATAATAACCTAACATCATATGCATCGCTTCTTGGTGAACCCGAAAATTCCCTTGAAGTTCGAGTCACATGAAGATAGGAGAACGATATAGTCAATCCGGCATATGTGGAGTGGCTGACACAAGATCAAGTGCTTTTGATGTGGTTACTATAAAGAACTCGTGACTTTGTAGTCACTAAAGCTCTGATACCATGTAAAGAACCACTTCAACTCAAAACCTTAAGATGTTGGGTGAAAGCTATTTTAATGGTTTATATTATTCTCTAATCAATCATCAAGTTGGTATCAGAGCTCTCGATTCTGAAGTTTCACCCAACATCTTAAGATTTTGAGTTGAAGTGGTTCTTTACATGGTATCAGAGCTTTAGTGACTACAAAGTCACGATTTCGAACCTCACCGCTCCCCACTTGTAGAATTAAATAAGCATAAGGTAAACCAAAAAGATAAAAGAAAATAAAATTGGGCCTATGCAATATCCTCACTTCAAGTCCAAAGGGCTATTACGTGAGGGGGTGTGTTAGAGAATAATATAAACCATTAAAAAAGTCCTCACCCAACACCTTAAGGTTTTGGGTTGAAGTGGTTGTTTACAATGATTAACAAAATATCTAAGGAAAACACATTCTTCAGATCTGAATTCCAATGTGTGATTATTATATGGTGTAAGGAAAGGAAAACAGTCGCATCCAAATACTTTGAGAAAATTATAATCCGGAGAGGTTGTTTAAGGAATTTGATATAGGGAACTTCAATGTTGATAGCAGCAGAATCTATTGATTAAATAAGTGGCAGAAATAAAGACAATCCCAAAATTGCATAGGGAGAGAGGCATGGGCTAGCAAGGTTAAAGTAGTCTCAACGATATGTCTAATGTTACACACTACTACACCATTTGTATGAGGGCAAGTCACACGATGAACAATGTCATGTAGGTTAAGGTACTTAGTAAAAGGCCTGAACTCCCCACCCCAATTTGTTTGAAGAGCTTTGATTGGTAGTTGAAATTTGTTTTGTAATTAAGGAGTGAAACTGTTTGAATATTGATAAAGCCTCTAATTTTTGTTTTAATGGATACAACCATGTATATCTTGTGTGAGTGAACAAATTGAAACATAGTAAGAGTCTTCCAGAGTTAATTTAATTAGTGAAGGTCCCCACAAATCACTCTATACCAAGCTCAAATGGTTTTTCATAAATAGTGTGGGATGAAGAAGGGAGTCTATGTGACTTCCCAATACACTGGACTGAACATAAATTTTCTACTTCAGTACATGTTTGAGAGATTTTAGATGTGGATGTCCTAAGCGACCATGCCACAAAGAGAGAAAGAGAGAAGATTGTGCTACATCGGAATAGTTGCTGATTAAAAGAGTAGAAGCAACATTATTAGATTGAATAACATGACTACTAGTTACATGGCTACTAAAAGTATACACATCAGCCAACTTTGAAGAGATGACAGAACTAGAATGAGGTTTACTTGAATCATAAGCTGCCACGGATGAGTTATCATATAGAAGGTGGATGTTGGGGAAGTGATAAAGGCCACCAGAGCCCACTGCACCTTGCAACAGAACCTTATGTGAGACTTGAGATTTAACAATGCACCCATTAGGATGAAATTCAAAGTAAACTAGATTGTCCCTTGCAAATTTACTCTCACTAATTAAATTCTTTGTAATAGAAGGAACAAAAGGAGAAATAAAGGAAGATGAACCAATATACTTGATGGGCAAACCTTGTCCATTTCCCACGAGGACATGTTCTAAACCCGAGAATTGTAGACTCTAAACAAGATTCTGAGGTCCTCCAGTCACATGATTGGACGCAAAAAAATCTGGTAACCATTCCATTAATGGAATAGAAGTAGGTGTATGTAACAGACCTGATTGAGAAGCAACTAACGCATGAGGTTGCTGTCTTTGAGGCTGCTTGACATTCTGAAAATTATTATGTTGTTGAGGGAAGAACTATGAGGAAGACACAAAGGCGGGTGGAAGCAAGCTAGGAACAAAATCTTTATCAAAACATGCCAACAAGAACTCACATTGTGGCCAAACTTGTATCAGAGTTGGCATTAAACATTTACATGAGTTGTTCGTCCTCATCCACGACCAGTACGTCCTTCATAAGGTCCATGTCCTCTGCCTTGAGGATTAGAATGAGCAAAGTCACCTCTGTTTTGCTGTTGTTTTGAACTCTGTTTGTGTTTGTTTTCAGATCCTGGAAAAGAGTATCATCTTCATGTACAGTTTGTTTCTGAGTGATCTGTGACCTTTGGGCTATGTTAACAGTTACTCCTTATGAAAGAGATGCTTGAGAAGCAATTGCTCATGAGCCATAAGCTCTATTCCCAGATCTAGAACACAGTATGCATGTTCGCGTCCATGAACATGCATCACAAAGAAATTGTAGTTTGATGGAAGTCTTTCTAAGATAATTTCAGTCTGTTCTTCAGGAAAAAACTGGATTACCCATGGCCTTTAACGAATCACACAGATTTGATTCTAGATAGATATTCTTGTGCTGTCTTCGAACCTTTTTCATGGAGTGAAGTTCAGATTGCAGTTGTCTTGCTCTAGACTTCATCATTCCATGAAATAATATATGGATATTATCCAATGCTTCAAAGGCGTGTTTCACTAGAATGATTGAGTTGACCACCTCTTGTGAAATTGTGGACAGTAACTGTTAAAGAATAAAATATTAAGTATTAAAAAAGACCATCACCTATAACCTTAAGGTTTTCGGTTGAAGTGGTTCTTAACATGGTATCAGAGCTTCAGGGACCATGAGGTCACAAGTTCGATCCTCACTGCCCCCACTTTCAGGTGGAATTAAGAAAAGCACAAGGCAGACCAAAAAATGAGCTTGTGCCATATCCACGCTTCAAGTCCAAATGACTATTGCGTGAGGGGGTGTGTTAGAGAATAAAATATAAAGTATTAAAAAAGACCATCACCTATAACCTTAAGGTTTTGGGTTGAAGTGGTTCTTAACACTTTTTTAATGGTTTATATTATTCTCTAACACACCCCTCACACAATAGCCCTTTGGACTTGAAGTGAGGATATTGAATAGGCCCAATTTTATTTTATTTTATCTTTTTGGTTTACCTTATGCTTACTTAATTCTACAAGTGGAGAGCGGTGAGGTTCGAACTCGTGACTTTGTAGTCACTAAAGCTCTGATACCATGTAAAGAACCACTTCAACTCAAAATCTTAAGATGTTGGGTGAAAGCTTTTTTAATGGTTTATATTATTCTCTATCAATCATAAATACTACCTTTGTTTAAGTCAGAAGGTAGAGTCTTTATTTCCAAGGATCTTCTTTTCAACGAGTTCAGGTTCCCTTACAGCTCGTGAATGAAGTTTGACATATCTTCTCCCATTTTCTCAGCACCCGTACCTATTCCTACCTATTGTCCATCTTCTTCTAATCAATTAACATTAGGTCCAGCTCCAATTCCACATGAGACAGTCTTCTTTAGATTCTGATCAACAATCTTCTAACCACTCATGCTCTTCTCTTACTTTACATGAACCAGCCTCTTCTTCTAACCACTCTCCAGCTGATAACACTGATGCCACTGAGGTATCACCTTCCTCTTCTGTCTAAACAAGTTCCACATCCTTGTCTTCATCAAGTTCTTCCACCAATGTTCCCATTACACCAGTGTCTTCTTCAAATACCAATACAGTTCCTCTTTCTCTCATTCTGAGTACATTCAATCTCTTGGTCCTCCCTCAATACAGCCCACTACTGTAAAATAGGCCCTGAACAGCCCCATGGCTTGCAGCAGTCAAATCTAAGTCTGATGCTTTAATTGCTAACAAAACCAGGAAACTTGTCTCTTTGCCTCATATTAGGAAAGCAAT